ACACACACACACGGATGCACAGCACAGACCCTGTTGTTCTTTGAGCAGAGGAAGGGAACCACTGAAACACACTTAAAGTAGCTCCACACTTTGTTCTCAGACAGACCCAACCTCAGGGACAATTATTTCGCTAGTCCCTTCTTTGACCCACTACTGCAAGGGCAACTGGGGGTCTCAAGGCCCCTCTGGCCTTCCTGTCTCATAGATAGGGTAAGAGTAGAGTGGGGGAAGAGAGCTGGGAAATTTCCAGCCCAGGGGCTTTCACCTACTGGGAGTGGATGGGGTGTTGTGTTACAGCTGGAGGGAAAGGTATCCTGACTTGTCAGGAAGTCAGACTATACTCACAGCCGTGAAGGGAGGTATCCTGGATGCCTACAACTGTAAGGAGAAAGGTATATCCTGACTTGTCGGGAAGTCAGGCTATACCTGAAGCTGGGCTGTGGTGGTGGAAAGGTCTCCCCACAAGATGTAGCAATCCTGCTCCTCTCTGGGAGAGAGCAAGCAGTTATAGCTGAGTTCTGCTCCGCCTCCCCTTAAGAGAGCTTCCCAGCAGAGGTACCAGTTTCTTCTGCTCTGTTCCCCTAAGGGAACATCCCAGCAGAGGTATTCGTTTCTTCTCAGCTCTGGCCCAAGATGTTACTTCTTCTACTGCACTCTGCTGAAGGAGGAACCCCTGCAGAAATGTGGCAATCGCTACCAGCTCTAGTGACAAGTTGTTACTTCTGCTCAGCCCCCAACCCCCACCCACCAAAGGAAGATCTCAGCAAAGTTCTGGGCTGGTGAAGGATCTTCACCCAAAACTCTTTTAAGAAAGAAATTTATAGCCGGGCGGTGGTGGCGCACGCCTTTAATCCCAGCACTCGGGAGGCAGAGCCAGGCGGATCTCTGTGAGTTCGAGGCCAGCCTGGGCTACCAAGTGAGTTCCAGGAAAGGCGCAAAGTACACAGAGAAACCCTGTCTCGAAAAACCAAAAAAAAAAAAAAAAAAGAAAGAAAGAAATTTATTTGGGAAGGGGGAGTCCAGGAGAGTGACTGCCTCTGCCAGGGTGGAGAAGGACAGCAGACAACTGAACAGGCAAAGGGCTTATACTGGGCTTCGTGTGTGTGTGTGTGTGTGTGTGTGTGTGTGTGTGTGTGTGTGTGTGTGTGTGTGTGTGTGTGTGTGTGTGTGTGTGTTGTCTCCAGGGAGATTACCTGCTCAGGGATTGGTTAGTTTTCCTGCTCAGGGATTGGTTGGTTTAGTTGGTCGGCCAAACTGTGTTTCTTTCACTGGCAAGATATGAAACTAGAACCCAAAAGAAAGTTAAAAGTTAAACATTGTAAAGGGCCACAAATGTCCTTCAGTGGGCTCATCAGTAGACTGGACATGACCAGGGAGGAATCTGAAAGCTTAGAGAAGTATCAGTATAAACTCTGCTCTCGTGAGGCTTCTGTTTAGTAGGAAATAAAACACCCGTCAGCGTGAAAGCAGTTCTGAGAAGAGAGTTGGCAGAGTTTGGGGAATAGGGTTTGTAGTTTTATATGTAAGCAGTGGGGAAGACGGGACGGCTCTGGTGAATGGCATCTGAGTAGGGGGACCAGTGGGCGGGGCTGTCTCCACCTCTATTGAGCAGAGGTACTCTACAGATGATGACATACACTTATAGCCATGCTACCATTTTTTTACTAAACAAGGTGAAACTTAAACATTCTATCCACTCCTGCTGAAATGTCTGTATCTTTCCCCCTTTTGAATATTCGGCTTGCTGTCACATAGATTCAGCTTGTCCTTATCAACTATGTTATTGAGATAGGGTTTTGGTGTGTGGCCCAGGCTGATTCCCCCTGACTTAGCAAGACTTGCATTATATACCCAGCCATTAAACCTTTCTAATCAAACTTGGTCTGGCCAGTGGGTGGGTGGGTGGGTGGGGAATCCCATTCAGCTGGCTGCTTTGTCCTCTCAACACCAATGCACACATCTTGAAAGTGTCTTTATTTTCTAAGATTATTACAAGCCCAGTATGATCTCTGCCCCAAATGACTGATGTGTTCTTCTCCAAGGAGCTCAAATTAGCACAGGGGTGCATGTCCCACTAGGCCTACAGAGGCACTGACTGATGTGCTGTGGAATAGTCTTTTTGTACACTGTGAAGATGTATCACTTTGATTGGTTTAATAAAAAGCTGAACGGCTAATAGCTGGGCAGGATTTCCAGGCACGGGGGATGCTGGAAGAAGGGGAGAGATGTGAGGAGATGAAGAGAAAGCATGACATGCAGGAGATGAGGTAACGAGCCATGAGTCATGTGGCAGCACATGAATGAACAGAAATGGGTTAAGTTATAAGAGCTAGTTAGAAACAAGCCTAAGCTATCGGCCAAGCTTTCACAATTAAAAGTCTCCATGTCATTTTTTGTGAGCTGGGGGCTCAAAGAAAAATCCATCTACAAATGGCATCCAACATGAAGGCACATATTTCCACATAAGACCCGAGAAAGCTTAAAAAAAAAAAAAGGTTTCAAACACAAAAATGGAGCCAAACGCAGCTTTCCAGTCCCGCAGTCTCTCATGCAGACCGAGGTACAGAGATGTATCTCTCAGTCACTGCCTGTGGGCTTGAGCCACCAGCACACCACAAGCTAGGCTGCATGGAGGTTTAAGATTTTGCTCATACAGACAGAAAAGGTTACGGATACGTAGCAAAGCAGATTCAGATGGAAAAATCCTCTAAACATGTTACAATGTGTTTAAAACTGTGTGTAGGCTTAAGAAAGAAAAGATAATAGGTATAGACAGTCACAGAAAAAAGTAAATTGTCTATATAATAATAATAATAATAATAAAAAGAATAAGCCATGTGGAGATGAGAAATACTCAGGGAGTCTGGATTCTGTATGGTCTTGCACTGACTTTAAATTTTTTTATTGCTGATGAGCAAACAATAGCTACTGAGAGACATTACATTATAAAAACTACTAAATTAAACCAACCTATATATTTTAAAAATATCTTAACTTCAAAATGCAAGTCAAAAAGTATGTTACATTGAGGAAGAGGTTATGCTTTTGTTTCCACAGAAAACAAAAGGCTGTAGATTCATTCAAAGTCAACAGAGATCAGATTTGACTAGGGGAGACCCCCTGAAAATCTTGACTACAGACATAAAGAGGACCAGACACCAAAGAAAATGGGTGACTCAGGTGATCCAACATATTAGAGTGCCTCGGCTTCAGTTTCTTCAGAGTTCTACACCCTGAACAGCTTCAAGGCTGCTGGCTTCATTTAACCACACCATGCAGCTGTTAATGTTACCCTGGTGCTGGAGTAATTCCAGAGCTTTGTGGTACGAGGTGAGCATCCACCACGGAGCAGTATCTACAACCTGACTTAAATCTAACAGCTGACTGCCTATATAGATTCTGCCAGAACATTACAATGTATTGCTCATCTGTTCATTCCAATTGTTTCTCATACAGGTACTTAATTTACTGTCTTTTTTAATTTTAACACTGAAGAGATCAAGCCAGGCAGTGGTGGCACACGCCTTTAATCCCAGTGCTTGGGAGGCAGAGGCAGGTGGATCTCTGGGTTCAAGGCCAGCCTGGTCTACAGAGTGAGTTTCAGGACAGCTAGGGCTAAACAGAGAAAGCCTGTCTCAAAAACACAAAAATACAACCAACCAACCAACCAACCAACCAACCAGATTGAAGAGATCAGCAGACAATTGCTGTGCTTGTGATACTAGAGTATGAAGCTCTATGTTTTGTTTATTCCTCATTAGTTTATTTAGCAGTGTGTCTTAGTCACTGTTCAATTGCTGTAAAGGGACATAACCAAGGCAACTCTTACAAAAGAAAGCGTTTAACTGGGGCTTGCTTAGCTTCAGAGGTTAGTCTATTATCATTATGGAGGGAGTGTGCTGGCACACAGCCAGGCACGGGCCAGTAGCTGAGAGCTATAGCCTGATCTGCAGGCAGGCAGGCAGGCAGGCAAAGAGACTCTGAGCATGACGTGGGCTTTTGAAACCTCAAAGTCCACTCCTAGTGACTAACATCCTCCAAGGCCACACCTCCTAAACCTTCTAATCCTTTCAAGTAGTGCCACTCCCTGGTGACTAAGCATTCCAAGACACGAGCCTATCGCGGCCATTCCTTTTCAAACCACCCTAGGGTGCCATGTTCACTGCTTCCTAGATGCTTTTCCGGCTCATTAGTTTACCAGTTCTGTGTTGACCTGCCAAGCCAGTCTTCCCCAGCTTTCCTGATGAACCCTGACTTCAGTTACTCTCCTAGTAGAGATTAGGGTTCAGTGGCAGCTCTTACATTTCCCATAATACTAAACTCATGTTGTTTTTTTCAGTTTTGTCCATCCTCAGACTACAGTAAACACCCCCTCCCTGCAAAAGCTTCCCATTGTCCTAGCACCGCGGTTATTCATTCAGTTTCTGCAAATGTAGGCACTGAGAGCAGAGCGGGTCCTGTGTGCGGCATCTAGACAGCACCCATCCTCAGCCCCAGGGCCAAGAAAAAAGAACATGCTTGCAGACTGCAGGCTGTGACCCACACGCTCCTCTCCCCTTTCAACACTATGCTTATAGGGGTTGCCCAAATACATTTTCAGAAGTTATCCTTCTGCACTCTGGGGAATCTTTGAGTAAGAATGGCCACCATAGGCTCATATATTTGAATGTTGTGGTTCCCAGTTGGTGGACTGTTTAGGAGGGATTAGGAGGCATGGCCTTGTTGGAGGTGTGTCACTGGGGCTGGGCTTTGAGGTTTCAAAAGCCCACACCAGGCCTAGTCTCTCTCCTTGTTGGCCTCCCTCTTACAGATAAGATGTAAGCTCTCAGCTACTACTCCAGCATCATGCCTGCCTGCTGCCACACTCCGTCACGATGATGATGAACTAACCCTCTGAAACTGTAAGCAAGTACCCAATTAAATGCTCTTTCTTTTATAAGTTGCCTTGGTCATGGTGTCTTTTTACAGCAATGGAACAGTAACTCAGGAGAATGTCAAAATTCACAAATGACATAATTTATTTGAAAATATTAGATTTAATAGAAAATATCACATTGTAAACAAATCTATTGATCCATTAGCTTAACAAAGAATAACAGCACAATCACGTATAAGAACTAAACAAAATGCTGGTACTAAACACAGTACTCCTAGAGGGGCCTGGGCCAGGATCTCAAAAACCTCTTCTGGGAACAGGCAACCGTTGCTTCAGACAGGCACAAAGACAGAGGAGGAGGCAGCGGCAACTCCACAGAGGCTGGAGAATATAAACACAGGCTGAGCAGAGAAGCCTGGGAAGGGGGCTTGAAGGTCAAGTGGGCGAAGGGTTGTATCTCTGATGCTCTGAGACCATCGGGGATACCTCGAAAACCTGAGAGGTGGGAATGACAGGGTGATTTAGAGGAGACAGTACTAGCGTGTGTATAATCTTGTTACTCAGCTCTGAGGAAGCAGGAGAGCACAGGACACGTATGTGCAGGTGCCAGCTCTCCATCTTGGGTAAATAACACTGAGATCACGACCGTGTTTACTACCCAAGTGGACCTCCTTACTAGGGAGTGTGTAAGAATCTTTTGAGAAAAACACAGCTCTGGTGGGGAAAGGGCTTTCACCTTTCTCCTGTTGGAATCTTGAGAGAGAACAAGACATGGCTGGACTTTGGAAGCTTTGAGTTTATCCGTGAAAGCCACTTTAGCGCCCTCCATGCCCAAACCTACCCAGAAAGTCTGTTTACAGAAAGCTACCTGTTGATGGCAGGAAAAAAGGTCCAGGGAAGGGGAGCAAGGGCTTCTCCCTGAGGAACTTGGTTCCTACAGGAAGGGGTGCTTCCTTGTGCTTAATTCTGGAAGTTGTGTTCTTTCGAACAAAGATTCTCAATGGGCTGGCCTGCAGAAGAGGGGGTCTCAGGACTCCAGAAGGGTCGTGTCCAAAGTGCACACGCCCTAATAAAGCCCTGCCCACTCAAGAGCAAGTGCACACACAGACAGGACTTCTTGATGGAGTGTGTTGGCCGTGTGTGTAGGGCCTGAAGGAAAGCTCAGAGTCCTCACTTGGGTATAATGACAGCCAACGATGGAGATCTCTATTGTTACAAAAAAATCATAAAAGGGGCAGAAGCTTGGGGACATAGCCCGGTTAGTAGAGCACTTGTCTGGCATGTGCAAAGCCCTGGGTTCAAACCCCAGTACTGCAAAAGAAGGGTGAAAGTTATACGTTTTAAAAACTTAGACTTCTCTGGACAATGAGACATGTCTGCTCCTGACAGCACCAATTACTTCAAAGAGGATGATGGGCACTGAAGAAACTCCACATGGAGTTTGCTTTCTTTATGGCCAAGAAACTGCTCCTGCCTGGACTGCTTGATAATATGTTGTATAAACTGGACATACAGGGCCCATAGGAAAATGATCACTGAATTTTGCCAAAACAAGGTGAAATGGTCCTTCAGGTTTCTGCTTCACAGAGACTGCTGGACATTCTACAGGACACAGGGAAAAGTGACTGGGAGACTCTAGGCCCAGAGGCAGAGCAGGATAAGGTGAGGCAGGGCAGGATAAGGTTAGATAGTACATTCAAACTGAAGCCGAGAGAAGAAGGGTGGAGTCTAGGAGATGCCAGCATGCCAATGAAGTAGGAACAAGATGCCAGCAGACAGGTAACTCCATGGCCACGTAAAGATTAATAGAAATGGGTTGAATTAAGTTATAAGAGCTAGCTAGCAAGAAGCCTGACCTGTAGGCCATATAATTCGCAAATAATATTAAGCCTCTGAACTATTATTTTATAAGTGGCTGCAGGACTGTGGGGCCAGGCGGGACCAGAGAAACTTAGGCTACAATGTTCCCCATAGCTAAACTCCCAGCCAGGATGGGCCTAGCCAAGGATCTGCAGCAACCATACAGACTGAAACAAATTAATTCTACTCTCTTACAATTTCCAGAAAGACCTGCTTGTCTCCCTCAGACGTACTCAGTGACTTGGCACAAGCTAGTCGCTGTATGGCTTCTTAGCAGCCTGGCTTTTCTGAATTTCCTTCTCCTTGATACTGTACAGGGGGTCCACCAACTTGTTATGAACAAGCATTAAACCTGTAACACATTTAAAGCAAACAGTAGTCAGTGTAGGCAGAGGCAAAGTTCCACAACTGTCCGGAGGAACACAGGGGCTTCAAGGGGCCCCCAGCAGAACTGACCTCTGTGGTCTCCAAACACTAAACACAGCTGATTCTGGAGAGAGACAGAGTTTACAACCGTGTTAGCCCTTCCACTGTGTCGGGGGCTGTTTAAAGATAAATCTTTTTTTTTTTTAAATTTCTTTATTATGTATACAGTGTTCTGCCTGTATGTATGCACACCAGAAGAGGGCACCAGATCTCATTACAGATGGTTGTGAGCCACCATGTGGGTGCTGGGAATTGAACTCAGGACCTCTGGAAAGGCAGCTAGTGCTCTTAATCTCTGAGCCATCTCTCCAGCCCCCAAGATAAATCTTTTTAGCAAAGGGCAAGTTCTAGTTTAGCTACTTAATGAATGAGGATTGTCACATAAGTTTGCTCATGACTAGGGTTTTACAATTACTGGGTAGGAGCTCTAGAAAAGCTACACTCTCAACCACCTCGTAGGCATCCTCGAAACAACAAAGATCCCAGAGAGCTGGTTTAGTGCCCCAGCTACAGGCGGAACGCCTGTACGCTGTTTGACAGAGAAAACTGGAGGCTCCATGACTTGCAAGGTTCCCACAGCCCTACGGTCTATAACTACATCTCCTGTCTCCTCAGTCACGCTCTCGGAGACAGACCCTTCCCGTCATGGACAGAAAAAGGAATGACCATATCGTGGAACTACAGGGTTGGATTATTACTGAGACTGTCGGTGGCGGGCCAGCGAGATGGCTTAGTGGGTAAAGGTGCTTGCGGCACAAGCCTCGCCACCTAAATTTGATTCCCAGAACCCACACAAGGTTGGATGGGAAGAATCAACTCCAAAACTACCCTCTGATCTTCACATATATACCACGACATGCACACATGCATACACCACACACCCACACACCCACCCACACACACACACACACACACACACACACACACACACACACACACACACACACACACGAGAAAAAAACCATAGATGCTGATTAAAATGTCCAGAAAAAGTTGGGTATCACAGTAATGTCTCTAATTTCAGCACTCAGGAGGCTGAGGCAGAATTACGTGGAGGCTATAAAGTGAAACCCTCTGAAAACAAAAAATAAAACAGGTGCTGGGTGTGGTGGTGCATTCCTTTAATCCCATCGCTCAGGAAGCAGGAGCAGGCAGATCTCTGTGAGTTCAAGGCCAGCCTGGTCTACAAAGCTAGTTCTAGGTCAGCCAGGGCTACACAGTGAGACCCTGACTCAAATCAATAAAGCAAAGAAAAGAAAACCCAGCATGAAATCCAAATCCACACCTCTCTCCCTCCCACACAAGCCTGCCTGGGGCGTTCTCCACTGCCTAGGCCTCACCTTTGAAATACTTAACCGTCTTCACTTTCAGCTCCAAGGTGGCATCCTCATCACACACAAACACGGTTCGGGGATGCTGCTGGAAGGCAGACACGGTCCACATATGGTTCACGCCCTCCTCAATGGCCTTGTACAGAGCAAAGGCCTTGTGAGCACCGGTGATGAGGATCATCACCTGGGGATAAGAAAACAGGCCAGTGATGGAGACAGGGCAGCTTGGGAAGCCATGGTGGGGGTCATCTGTGGGCCCCTGAGGTCGACTCTCACAAAGGTTGCTCCTATATCTATTCTCTTTCCACTTCAGAGCATTGAAAGTGCTAGTGTGACTCAGTGTGCTGTTTTCTGTTTACAGAAAGCAAAGACATGGCCGCACTCCATAACTAAGATAGCAAAACACACACGCAGAAAGGTGACCCTAAAGAACTCAGCTCTACAGACTCCCCATTCATCTGAGTCTCCATTCCTACCATGGAGTGGCCAACAGGATCACTGCTCCTTTCCTTTTTCGAAAAAATTAAGACAGGGTCTCAGTACATGTAGTTCTGGCTGGCCTAGAACTCGCTCTGTAGATCAAGCTGGCCTTGAACTCAAGAGATCTGTCTGTCCCTGCCTCCCCGTTGCTGGGATCAAAGGCGTGTGCTACTACTGCTCCTCTCTTAAAGAGCTGAACAGAGGCACAGGGAGGCAACCGTGGTTCTAAAAGCCCTAACATCCCGCCCTTGGTCCATTTTCCAGATCAGAGCCTTCTCTGGTGTGCCTGGCCTCCAAACCCTGTGCTTCCAAGAGGCAAACAGACCCTGAGAGACTGATTCAGGCCACCCAGTGGGAATCCAGGTACCATAATTCACTAAGTTTACTTTCCCACTGATTCAGACGCTTACTCACAGACTTGACCAAAGAAACTGAAAAGGAACTATCTATAGCCATTTCCCACTGAGTGTAGAAAATGCTTCTAAACTTCAAACCCACGGGCCAGTAAATGGTTCAGCAAGTACAGGTGCCTGCAGCCAAGCCTGATGACCCGGCGTCTATCCCTGGGTCCCACACGGTGGAAGGAGAGAACTGACTCATCAAAGTTGTCTTATGCCGGGCGGTGGTGGCGCACGCCTTTAATCCCAGCACTCGGGAGGCAGAGGCAGGCGGATCTCTGTGAGTTCGAGGCCAGCCTGGGCTACAAAGCGAGTTCCAGGAAAGGCGCAAAGCTACACAGAGAAACCCTGTCTCGAAAAACCAAAAAAAAAAAAAAAAAAAAAAAGTTGTCTTATACACTCTATCAGAGTGTTGTGACATGCAATTACATACACACATATATGGACACACACAGACACTCACAATACACAATATGATTTTGAGGTGGTGGTGGCGCACGCCTTTAATCCCAGCACTTGGGAGGCAGAGGCAGGCTGATCTCTGTGAGTTCAAGGCCAGCCTGGTCTACAGAGTGAGTTATAGGACAGCCAGAGCTACACAAAGAAATCCTTTCTTAAAAAAAAAAAAAAAAAAAAAAAAAGAAGAAAAAGAAAGAAAAAAAGGAGAAATATGAAAATATGATTTTGAAAAACAAGATAAAGTATAATTCAGACACAGTAAGGAAATTGAAACCACAAAAATAAAATTAAATTAAAATATCTTTTTTTTTTTTTTTGGAGCTGAGGATCAAACCCAGGGCCTTGTGCTTGCTAGGCAAGCGCTCTACCACTGAGCTAAACCCCCAACCGCAATATCTGACTTTCTAAGAGAAAAACTCACTAAGTTCAGCCCAAAACATTCTAATCACATTTAACTGTATTTGTTGCCCTCAAGCACAGGGCGATAGACACAGCATCCTTGGGTTGCAGGAGCAGAGTCCTTTCAAACCGTGATCAACCTCAGGGACCCAAAGTGTCTGCTCAGATGACTGCCCTCACCCCAGGAATGACTTCACTCACCTCCAAAGGCAGAAGAGAAGCAGTGTCAAGACTAGCTGGGATTTTAGCTTTATTTATGAAGAGTTCAGTTAATAAGAATGTATACTTGGTGCCTTTATAGCTTAAACTAACAATAAGGTAACCCCTCTCCCCAACCTTAGCAAAGGCCGGCCCACAGACCTTCGATCCCTTACCTCTCTAGCATTCATCACAGTGCCTACACCCACTGTCAGGGCCATGGTGGGCACCTTGGCAAGATCACCGTCAAAGAATCTAGCATTGGCCAGGATGGTGTCCATGGCCAGCGTCTTCACACGGGTCCTGGACACCAGACTGGAGCCTGGCTCATTGAAAGCAATGTGTCCATCGGGGCCGATGCCTGTGGAGATGGCAGAACAGCCCCATGAGTCCCAGGGACCAAAAAACTTCAAAAACAATAGTCTCTCCTATTCTGAAAAAAATAATCTTTGAAATCTACATGTCTTCTCTCATTTGTACCTTAAGTCAGGTCTACTGTGGGATGTTCTGTATGTTAAATGTGTTGCTCTGATTGGTTAATAAATAAAACACTGATTGGCCAGTAGCCAGGCAGGCAGTATAGGCGGGACAAGGAGAGAGGAGAATTCTGGGAAGTGGAAGGCTGAGTCAGGAGAGACGCTGCCAGTCGCTGCCATGACAAGCAACATGTAAAAGATACTGGTAAGCCACAAGCCATGTGGCAACTTATAGATTAATAGAAATGGGTTAATTTAAGATATAATAACTAGATAGCAAGAAGCCTGCCACGGCCATACAGTTTGTAAGCAATATAAGTCTCTGTGTGTTTACTCGGTTGGGTCTGAGCCGCTGTGGGACTGGCAGGTGAGAGATGTGTCCTGACCATGGGCCAGGCAGGACTGGAAAACTCTAGCTACAGTCTATCTCAATCATGTGACCTCCCTTCCTGAAGCACACACAGACTTTGGTAACTTGCTTCCACCCTCAGATAGCTCAGAAGTGTGAAAAACAGCTTCCCTCCCACTCCAGACTGTGGGGAAGTGCAAGTTCTCCTCCCTTTCACCCAGAGCTGGAATCCAGCAAGGCAAACCCGGCCTGGATGGCTGGTTTGTAAGTGCTTAGGATATGCAAACTCCTGCCCTCCTCTCTACTATTTCTTTATTTTCTTCTCTCTCTCTAACTAAAGACAGAGTCTCTCTTAAGTAGCCATGCTCACCTCCAACAAAGAGTTCGATCCCACCTGCAGCCTGGATCTTGTCCTCAAAGGCGTCACACTCAGCCTGCAGGTCAGCCGCATTCCCATCCAGAATGTGGGTGTTTTCAGGGTGGATGTCAATGTGCTTGAAGAAATTATTCCACATGAAGGAGTGATAGCTCTCTGGGTGCTCTCGAGGAAGACCTGTGGGCCCCGGGGACACTCAGGACAATGCCAGGTGATCACACTGGCTGCAAGGTCCCTTGGGAGACTGCCCATCTGACCCCCGACCATGTAGGACAGGCTGAGCTGGTGTGTAATCAACCATGGCCATTACCTGTGACTACAGGCTAGGCTGGGCTGCAGCTACATATCGGTGGTGGTGATGGGTGGTGGGGAGGCTGGGAACTGGGAAATCTCATTCTGATCCCCACTGTAGCTCAGTGGTAGAGCATTTGCCTGGCATGTGTGAGACCCTCAGTCTGATCTTTCCCATCAGCTTGGGGTTGGGGGGCACACACTTGGAGTCTAGGAACACTGTGCAGCTAGGGTAACTTGCCCATCTGGGTGGTGGGACTGAGTCCGTGGGGAATGGAAGCAACAGCATCCTTTACCCTGGGCCTCCTATACCACCCCTCATTCCGTTACCCCCACTACACCTGAACTCCAACTTAAACATGACATGGATGGAGAGAATATCAGAGCTGCTCAAAACTGAAGGATGGTTAAAAATAATTTAAATGTGAAGACTATTTAAAGTCAGGCCTTCCTTTAATACCAGCACTCAGGAGGCAGAGGCAGGTGGAGGATCTCCAGGAGTTCAAGGCTGGCCTGATCTACACAGTAAGTTCCAAGCCAGCCAAGGCTGTAGAGTGAGACTCTGTCTCCAAACACTTGAAACCTCTGAAATCAGACTGAGAATGTTCATCAGTGGCTGAGCACTTGCCATGCACACCCCAGCGGTTGGGTTCAATCTTCAGCTACACCAAAATCAAAGGAAAATTTGTCTCAGAACATATTTAAAAGTAGAGATGGCAGAGAGGTGGTGGCGCACGCCTTTAATCCCAGCACTGGGGAGGCAGAGGCAGGGGGATCTTTCAGTTCGAGGCCAGCCTGGTCTACAGAATGGGTTCCAGGACAACTAGGCCACTTAGTGAGAGCCTGTCTAAAAAACAAAAAACAAACAAAAAAGTACAGACGGCAAGATGGCTCAGCAGGTAAAGGTACTTGCCACCAAGTCCTTCAGGACCCACATGGTGCAAGGACATAACAGACTCTAGCAAGTAATCCTCTGAGACACACACACACACACACACACACACACACACACGCACACGCACACGCACACACACGCACACTCTAAATAGATGTAATTTTCAAAATACATTTAGTCTTTAAAATGAAAGAAACTGCTGTGCACAGCAGTACATACTTGTAACCCTAGCACTCAAGGGGAAAAGCGGGAAGATCACAAGTTCCAGGCTAACTTGGGCTACACAACAAGATCCTACTTCAGAAAACCAAAAGGAAAAACAAAATTCTGGTACAAACCATAAACGGGTGAATGCTATGTGAAGAAGCCAGGCACAAACAGCCAAAGGCATTCATGACCTGACTCCCATGAGTGCCTGGAGAAGTCAGGTTCTGGAGAACTGGGGAGCAGTTAGACAGGAAGTCTCAGCTCTGCAGGGTGCGAGTTGTCTCATGGCGGTGTGAATGCACTCGAGACTTCTGAACTGCACATTCCAAAGTGCTCAAGAAAAAGCTGTCTGTGGGGTTTGGGTGTGAATATGAGTGCAGTGCCCATGGAGTCCAGAAGGAAGTGTTGGGTCCTTTAGAGTGGGAGCTACAGGTTGTAAGCCACCTGAGGTGGGTGCTGGGAACTGAACTTGGACTCTCTGCAAGAGCAGTGTTGTGTTCTTTTTCTGGCAGGGAAGGGATAGAGACAGGGTCTCTCTGTGTTATCCTGGCTATCCTGGAACTTGCTATGTAGACCAGGCCAGCCTTGAACTCACTGAGATCCACCTACTTCCGCCTTCCTAGTGCTGGGATTAAAGCTGGTGTGTGTTCCTAACCACTAAGCCATCTCTCCAGCCTTGATTTTGTGCTTGTCAACCAGAAATGTCCGTTTCCCAGGCTGCCCTCAGTCCCCTGGGCTAAAGCAACCCCCTGCCTTATCCACTATTTCCCTAACCCCAGCAGTTTTGAAGATGGTAAGTGTTTATTTTACCAGGCTTCTGTCTGTCTGTTTGTTAACATTTAAAATGAAACCGTTGGTGACAGGAGGAGACGACAGAAGACCAGAGGCACAAGTCTCAGCCTCCACCAAGGGTGCCTGACAGAAAGAGGAGCTGAAGGAGTCACATGAGAAAACAGTCCAGACACAGAACTGGATCCCAGGATCTCATCTGCAGGTGTTCCAAAGAGAGATGCTATGGAGTTGGGGACCAAGCAGAGGGGGAAAAGCACCTTCATATTTAGTAAATATTTACTAAATGTCTGCAATGCACAGTAAGCCCCTGCACCAATCATGGCCTCTTTAACACAACTACTAAGGTAAGCCCCATTTTACAGCTGGGTAAAGCAAGGCTGCAAGAGACAATCACCACTAACTAAACTCTTCCTCTCCAAGGCTGAGCCCGTGAGAGAAGGAGCATGATTCCCCTAGAATCGGGAAGAACGTGAAAGACACTCACCCACATACTCGTCCATGTTGAAGGTTTTCACATATTTAAAGGAAAGATCACCATTCTTATAGTATTCAATCAGCTTCTGGTAGCAGCCAAGTGGTGTGCTCCCTGTGAGAAGCAATTAGCAACGTCACCACAACCATAAAGAAGAATGTCACATCTATAGTCCCATCTAAGCCGGGTGGTGGTGGTGCACACCTTTAATCCCAGCACTTGGGAGGCAGAGCCAGGTGGATCTTTGTGAGTTCAAGGCCAGCCTGGTCTACAGAGCGAGTTCCAGGACAGCCAGGACTGTTTCACAGAGAAACCCTGTCTGGAAAAAAACCAAAAACAAACAAACAAACAAACAAAAAGCCCCATCTATGCTGCAGCCCCACCTACCATCCGTCTACTCCATGCTCGATGTCTAATGCCCATTAGACTGTTATGCTCTAGGGAACAGGTCTGTGAGAGTCTCCCAGGACCATCCACAGAAGTCACCAATTAGTATCTGAATGACTGTCAGACTACTTGATGACTGATGTAATGTTCTAGGAGCATCAACTATGTGCAAGTCACAGGGCTGCAGACGGGAAGACAGAGGTAACTACCCTAGAAGAGGCCACTGTGTAGAGATGGGGACACAGCAGAGATGTAAGCTGTGACAGGGTCACCCTGTGCTTCAGAGTCCAGAGTTAATTCTCATGAGCAGGTAAACAAACCAAAGACAGGAGGGCCATAAAAGAGTCAAAGACTGAGGAGCCCGACTGAGGGCCTGGCTCAGTGATGGGCTCCATCGCCAGCTTCCCTGCAGACAAAAGAACAAAAGACACAAGAACCCTGAATGGATACTGGCATAATTTCAAACTAACCTTCCAAGGTGGGGGTGCGGTCAAGGGGGAGCAGTGAAGGCCCAGGATTAGCCCCTAGCCAGGCCTACAGACAAGGAGAAGGAAATAAAAACTAAGCACCCGTACACAATCAGTGTAGACTACGGGGGAAAGGTTCTGAACACAGGCTGTGTGTTAGAGGATACTGCAGGACGCTACGCAGACTTGTCCTTCGGTCTGCAGTGCTGGAGGGGGTTATAAACCAATGTCCTCACTCCTGAGAGGGAAGGGCTGCAGGGTTTGGGGTAAAGTGTCACGATGCCTGGAGCTGCTCTCACGTGGCTCCAACAACAAATTACAAGGGCAGACAGAGACCAGAACCAGAGGAAGCAGCTAAGGTGCCAAGCCATGAATGGGTGAATCTAGGCAAACGGCACCATCCTGATTCTTTGAATGTTTGAAAAACCTTCAAAATAAAAAGATATGGAAGGGAAAAACTCAACCTCATCCACTGAGATCATCACTCCCCTTTCCAAAACCCAACAATGTCTTTTTTTTTTTTTTTTTTTTTTTTAATTTTCCAGAGCTGAGGACTGAACCCAGGGCCTTGTGCTTGCTAGGCAAGCACTCTACCACTGAGCTAAATCCCCCAACCCCCCAACAATGTCTTCTTTCTGCCTCCTAATAACTAACCTCACAAAGGCTGCTCAAGCATGCCCTGGGCTTCACCTCAGGGCCTTTGCACCCTCTCCTCTCTATAGGCCATGCTCTTCCTTCATGCAACTTCACGGCCAACTCGCTTCTTCAGCCTTTCCCTCAAGGCTGCTTTCTCAGAGACCGTCTCTGCCCCCACATCTGACACAACTCCCCACTAAGCACACTCCCCAGCCTTTCTTCTCTATCGCCTTCCTCTTCTCCTGTTGCCTTCTAAAATACTCTCCAGTTTGCCAATTAACTTGTTTACGCTCTTTCTCCACTATAATTTAAGCTTTAAGAAGTAGGAATTTATATTCTTTTTTTTTTTTTTTAAATGTTGCTGTTATATCCCTAGAACCTTCACAGCATAGCTTACAGGAGGCATTCAAAAACTTACCTACTGAGTGGGGCTGGAGAAGTGGCTCAGCAGCTAATTAGATTTACCTGCCAGGTGTGGTGGCGCACACCTTTAATCCCAGCACTGGGGAGAGAGGCAGGTGGATCTCTGAGTTTGAGCCCAGCCTGGTCTACATAGCCAGCTCCAAGCCAACTAAGGCTATCTAGTGAGACCCTGTCTCAAAAAACAAACAACAAACAAAAAAACCAAAAAGATTCCCTTTTAACTATGTGTACGTGTGAGGATATGCATGTGAGTGCAGGCACTTATAGACTCCTGAAGAGGACCTTGAATCTCCTGGAGCTGGAGTTACAGATGGCTGTGAGCTAATCTACTAATCTGGGTGCTGGGAAGTGAACTCAGGTCGTCTGAAAGAACAGTAGTGCTCTTAACTGCTGAGCCATCTCTCCAGTCCTAAGAATGGTCTTAAACTTTTAATATAGTTTTTATTTTATTTATTTATTTTATTTTAATTTTTTTAGGTTTTTCGAGACAGGGTTTCTCTGTGTAGCTTTGCGCCTTTCCTGGGACTCACTCTGTAGACCAGGCTGGCCTCGAACTCACAGAGATCCCCCTGCCTCTGCCTCCCCAGTGCTGGGATTAAAGGCGTGTGCCACCACCGCCCGGCCTTAATATAGTTTTTAAAAAATCAGGGCTGGAGAGATGGCTCAGAGGTTAGGCGCAGTGGCTGCTCTTCCAGAGGTCCTGAGTTCAATTCCCAGCAACCACATGGTGGCTCACAACCATCTGTAATGAAATCCAGTGCCCTCTTCTCGCCTGTAGGCACACATGCAGGCAGAATACTGTATATACAATAAATAAATCTTTAAAAAAAAAATCAAAAGAATATTTCATGACATATGAAAATTATGTAAGTTCCAACTTCGGCGTCTACAAATAAAGTTTTATTGATATAGCCACACATTCACATACATGTTGTCTGTGGCTATAATATTGAAGCCTAAATATATGTACTGTTGGGTATTTACTGCGAAAGTTTGAAGGCCTCTCTCTTTCTAGTGGATAGGTCAGACAAAACCACGGAAGACCAATCTCCCCGCTTGTGGAAGAAATATTTTGGAGACTTTTTTGAAACACTGGACCAAAATATCTTCCTGTAAAGGTAACATCTGACTTTTTTTTTTTTTTCAGAAGACACTGGGTTTTATAATCACTTAAGCTTTTGGAAAATTATTTGACTAACTTCTCAGTTCTCCCATGACCAGCACTCAGTTAGTATCCCCTACATGCAGAGAACAGAAATTAATCTCATAAAACCAACATCTGAGGAAACCAGGGTTGAGTTAGGATTTAACTCCTGCTGAAGAACCAGCCTGCCTCCATCCTAGGCTTAAAAGCCACCTTATAGTAAAGACGAACCAGGTTCATTCCTGTTTATGATTAAACCTGTTTCTCAAGGACTGGGCTATGACCCATCTGTACCCTTAACTACAAATGGTTCTATACTGCCTGTTCCAGGAATGGCCATCATGTCTTTGCTTCAAAAAGTTATTTATAACCATCTCGAAACTCTACCTTTGTTACAAAAGGTTATATGACCCCCCTATGACTACCTTGTTACGACCACCTGTTGTTGTGATTACCGTGTTTTGAACATCTGTTATATTTTACTCCCACAACCTCGCCTATTTCCTCCTATTTGGAAACCCCCTACCCCTGAGCTCTATAAAAGCCTTGTCTTCCTCACATCCAATGCTGCCCTCTTAAATCTCAACTTGGGGAAAGACAGGCAGCTGTCCAGTTCCTGTTTATCTCTAAATAAAGCTTGCTTTGCCGGGCGGTGGTGGCGCAAGCCTTTAATCCCAGCACTCGGGAGGCAGAGCCAGGCGGATCTCTGTGAGTTCGAGGCCAGCCTGGGCTACAGGGTGAGTTCCAGGAGAGGCGCAAAGCTACACAGAGAAACCCTGTCTCGAAAAACCAAAAAAAATAAATAAATAAATAAATAAATAAATAAAATAAAATAAATAAAGCTTGCTTTAATTAGCCAGTCCTGGAATTGGTTTTTTCTCAGGTCTAACACTGCCTCACCAAGATTCCTTCTGTTCAGGATTTTACAGGAATAGTGGCCACTAAACCAACCAATACAGGAAGCCAGGTGCCTTTTCTCTCTCTGCGGAGGGTACCACAGCAAACAGTACTTTAGTCCATCTTTTAAAGTCTCTGGGCTAAACGAGCCCGTAATCCCGATGCTTTAAAGGACTCCAACGACCTCTCTGTCCGCCCCTACGCACCCCACCCTCTCTTTTCCACAGCATACCGGTGGGGAGCCCCAAGGTGAAGTACTTGTCAGGCCCTGGATTAAACTGGATGATGCGGTTCCTAATGTACTTGGCCGCCCACTCACTGGCCTGTGAATAGTGTTCCAGGATAATGAGCTTCATCTCGTCCTGCAGCATGGAGACAACAAGCTGAATTAAGGGAAGGGCAGGGAGCAGAGAAGGCTGGGGAGGGGGGTCAGAGTTCCTCTAGCCTGACAACAGCCTTTTCCCAGTTCACCCACAGGTGAACAGGCTGGGCGGGGAGCCGCCGACCACCAGGAGGCGGTACTGTGGGGTCAGTCCTTGGCTGGGGAGGACCTCCCATAGCCCCAGGATTGTCTGGGCCCGTTCCTTCCTGCGTAAATTAACGCGGTCGGTCAATGCCTCCTCGGTTTCACGACAGGGCACAATGCACACAGCATAGAGTCCGCGCGGGCCACGGTCACCTAGCAGCGGGGCCGTTCCGGCCCGCATCCTCATCCTCACCCGGCCGGGTCCTCTGCCTCGGGCTCCCTTCGCTCCCAGAGGTGCCGCGGGGTCCCCTTGGGGTACTAGAGGAGGAGGCGGCGAGTGCTGGAGAGGGGTGGGGTGCTTCCAGGGTCCTTAGTTCTCCCCCAAGTATCAAGGGATACAGGTAACCCTGCGGCAGGAGGGCTAGTGGTTTGCCGTCCGTCCCCGGGGTTCAGCGTCCCCCACCCAGACTGCGCTCGGGCTGCCCCTCGGGCCCGGCCAGTGACCCAGGTCCGGGGGTCGGGGGCTCCCGCTGGATCGCTCCCACTTACACAAACGCTTCCCGCGGCTGGGAAGAGGTTACAGCACTGGCGGCTGGGCCCGCGCGGGTCACGTGGCCGCGGGTCACGCGGTGCGCGCGCCGCCAGCTGACTCAGGGCGGCCACCTGACCTGGGGGTGGAGGCAGAGAGCGCGCGCGTGTGTGTGTGTGTGTGTGTGTGTGTGTGTGTGTGTGTGTGTGTGTGTGTGTGTGTGTGTGTGTGTGTGTGTGTGTGTGTGTGTGTGTGTGTGTGTGTGTGTGTGTGTGTGTGTGTGTGTGTGTGTGTGTGTGTGTGTGTGTGTGTGTGTGTGTGTGTGTGTGTGTGTGAGCTTAGCTATCAAGTTATCAAGTGCAAAGCGGACGTGTGTGTGTGTGTGCGCGCACGCAAGCTTAGCTATTAAGTGCAAAGCGGACCGTGACTCTGGCTGCTGACTGTGCCTTCCGTGGCCCCCCTCGACCTGGGGTGGGGTGCACACAGAACACCCTGGGTAAGGGTGCCGCGGTGCAGGCCTTAGGAGAGACGCATTCTATCTGACTGAGCACTGGCTGTGCTTTTAAGGGGCCTTTGACACAGCTCCATCTGCAGCTAAATCTGGTTATAAGTATGTGCTTTTTTTCTTGTCCACAGAATTCTGACCTTGAAAAGGACACTTTTTAAAGATAGGGTTGTGCAGACTCGTGATTGCACAGTGGACCAGAGATACTACAGCAGTCCAAGGGCTCCCTCCATATGCTCAAGTCACAGGGACGCTGGGCCAAAGGCACACTCGGTGCCGTTTCAGTAAGCTCATTTGTGATGCCTCTCAGAGGGGGCCTACCGTTCCCTTGCAAGGAGTCAGGTTGGTTACTTATGTCGAAATGCTTGGGTGTACGCTAGCAAGAGATGGGAATCAGAACAGGAGAATAAGGAGGGCCCTTGACACTCTATGCCCACCCTATTTCCTGGCTGGCTGGCTGCGTTTAAACTTTGTAGTATCATGTATGTGTATATATGAAAAAGACAAGTCTCTGCCCCAACTATACACAACAAAATAATGATTGCTGTCGGTGTGCATCCAAACTGTTTTCTTCCTTCTTTCCTTCCTCTTTCTTCTGTCTTCTTCCTTCCTTTCCTTTTGTTCCTTTCTTCATGTCTTCCTTCTTCCTTTTCTTTTTCTTTTTCTTTTTTTTTTCTTTTTGACAGGTCTCTCTACATAGCTCTGGCTATCCTGAAACTCACTATGTAGACCAGGCTGGCCTCGAACTCACAAAGACAGACTGGTCTGCCTCTGCCTCCCCAGTGCTGGGATTAAAGGCATGAGCCACCACATGGGAAACCAAAACAGGAGCCACATGGTTATACTTAGTTATTATGTCTCCATACTTTATAACCTTGAGCCCTTAATCTTCTGTCCAGGTGCTACTATTACACTCATCTACCCCACAGGCAGCCTTGAGCCCTGAATCCCCCACGCTTCCGTTATCTCCACAGCTGTTTTCTATCAACTCTCACCCTTCCCCATAAGTGAGACCTCAAAAGCCGATGAGCGGCTGCTCTCTGAGATGCCGACTTTGGGAGAGACAACCTGTTTGCCAGTTCTAAATACAGTTTGTTTTAACCAGACAGTAGTGGAATTGTTTCCTCTCCCACCCCACCCCCCTGCCTCAGGTCTAACACACACCTGGCCTCAAAATTGTTTTTCTATGAATATACCTATATTGCTATTTTACATACATGGTAATAAGCTGTAGTACATCAAAAGTCAGGTATTTGTCCTAGGTTATATCATTGGATGCTGACTACACCCAGTAAGGAAAGTTTGCTAATACTCTTATAAGCGAGGACACAGAGGCTTAGTGAGAAAAATTTACTTTGCCAAGGGCACAAATAGCTTCCCTAAGACTTCAAGTCGTGAACATCTGTCCGAGTCCCAAAGCCAGTGAACATCTGTCCGAGTCCCAAAGCCATAGTTTCCACTAGCCTACGCTGCATTTTATCCGCTGTGACGGCGGATTTGGGGCACTTTATGACAACGAACGATCCGTCTTAATCTTCTAGCGAGTGCATATGTGTGTGTTCACAAGTGTTGAGAACAACCTCAGGTGTCATTTCTCTGGAGTTGCCCACCCCCGGCCCTTTTAAGATTTATTTATTTATTTATGTGTAAAGGTGTGCTTCCCTGTGTCTGACATTTGTGTGCAGGTACCCACGGAGGCCAGAAGAGGGCATCGAATCCCCTGGTGCTGAGGTTGTTGTGGGAGACCAGCTCCCACATTTTACGACAGGGTACTCTTGAGGAGAGAGGGATAAGAGGTTTAGATAGAAGGATAGAGGGGAGAGAGACATAAAAACACAGGATAGCCTTGGGAGCGCCTGGATCCTAATCCACTGGCCCCTTCTGTCTCGTCTAAAAGGCTTTTTATAGGAATGCCAATGGGTGGAGCAAGACCTCCCCCTAGCTCAGCCAAGTGCAGACCCTCTCCAATCACCTGGTAACCACACACGTGATCAAGCCATCCTCTAATGCAGCCCTGCTGGGTAAAGCAAGCTCAGATCTCACCAGGAAACCTTTGTGGACCTCCACAGGTTGTGAAATTCCCTAACATGGGTGCTGGGAACTGAACTCAGATCCTCCACAAGGACAACAAGCATTCTTAACTGCTAAGCCATCTCTCCAGCTGTCTACCTTGTTTTGTTTTTTTAAAAGATTTATTGTATTTTTAATTATGTGTCTTGATGGGTATGAGCATACATGTGGTGTGCCTACAGAGGTCCCAGGCTACAGACCCCCTATGGTAGCAGCCCCGGGCCATTGTGAGCTGCCTGATGTAGGTGCCGGAACTGAACTCGGGTCCTTTGTAGAAGCATCTAGCACTCTTGACTGCTGAGCAATCTCTCCTGCTGTCGGATGGTCTGTATGTCAAATGTGTTGCTGATTGGTCAATGAATAAATCACTGATTGGTCAGTGGCCAGGCAGGAAGTATAGGCGGGACTAACAGAGAGGAGAATTGAGAGAACAGGAAGCTGGGTGAGAGAGACACTGCCAGCCGCCATCAGGACAAGGAAGATGTAAAGTGCCGGTAAGCCACAAGCCACGTGGCAAGGTATAGATTAATAGAAATAGATTAATTTAAGCTGTAAGAACAGTTAGCAAGAAGCCTGCCACGGCCATACAGTTTGTAACCAATGTAAGTGTCTGTGTTTACTTGGTCGGGTCTGAGTGGCTGTGGGACTGGCGGGTAAGAGAGATTTGTCCTGTGGGCCAGGCAGGAAAACTCTAGCTACACTCTCCAGCCCCTGTCTATCTTATGTTTGAGACAGGGTGTATCAGTAAGACTTGGGGGTTCACTGACTCAGCGAGGCTGGCTGGTCAGCAAGCCCCAGGCATCCTCATGTCTCCACCTCCCCACTGGGACTACACACCTTGCCCAGCTTTTGTTTGTTTGTTTGTTTTGTTTTGTTTTTTTTCTGAGACAGGGTTTCTCTGTGTAGCTTTGCGCCTTTCCTGGAACTCACTTTGGAGACCAGGCTGGCCTCGAACTCACAGAGATCCGCCTGCCTCTGCCTCCCGAGTGCTGGGATTAAAGGCGTGCGCCACCACCGCCTGGCTCCTTGCCCAGCTTTTTAAGTGGGTGCTGGGGATCACAACTTGTATCCTCACACTTGCTCAGCAAACAATTCACTGACTGAACCATTTCTCCAGCCTAACCTTTCAGATCGACACTGGAGTATATTGAACTTCTGAGGACATCAGGAGATGCCCATACTTAGGAGGAAGGACTTGTGTGGTCACCAGAAACCTCTTCTACTACATAGGGCTTTGCCAAGAGCTTTGGTACCCCATGTATCTTAGGTAGGGTTCCTATTGCTCTGATGAAACATCTGACTTAAAGCAGCTTGGGGATGAAGGACAAGAACTCAAGCAGGGCAGGAACTTCCGCAGAGGCCATGGAGGGGTGCTGCTCACTGGCCTTCTCTCCAGGCTTACTCAGCCTGCTTTCTCATAGAACCCAGGACCACCAGCCCAGGGGTGGCTCCACCCACAATGTGCCAGGCTCTCCCACATCAATCATTAATTAAGAAAATGCCCTATAGGCTTACCTGCAGCCTGATTTTATGGAGCAGTTTTCTCAGTTGAGGTTCCCTCTTCTCAGATGACTCTAGTTTGTGTCAAGTACAATTGACCCCTTGTCAACCTGCCACAAAAACACATCACTGTTAAGCTACAACCTTTCCTTTCTTGTTCATCTCCAAGATCACATACTAATAAAGACACCACCATATAAAATATTTCACAAATAAAAACCATGGTCTCAAGTGATTCCTTTTAGGACTCGTGTGTGACTGTTAACATTGTATAGATGTGCATACTTATATGTAGCCTCATGGGACAGTCTAGACCAGCAGTTCTCAACCTGTGGGTCGCGACCCTTTTGGGGGTTTCTGAATGACCCTTTCCACAGGGGTTGCATATCAAATATTTACATTATGATTCATAACAATAGCAAAATTACAGTTATGAAGTAGCAATGAAAATTTTATGGTTGGGGTGTTGGTTTTAAATGTGGCGCTTTTACTCTGTGAGGAAAAGCCAGGAGGCACGACAAAAACCATTATCAGAGCAGAGTTTTATTAGAAGGAAGGGACAGAAGAGAGTGTGACCAGGCCTGTTGGAAAGACACTTGAGGAGAAGGGAGAGATGGAGAAGGAGAGAGCAGAAGCACGATGAGTCGTCTGTGAGCGGCTTTTTAAGGATTCCCCTGCACATGCGCATGTGGGCTTAGGGAGCTACACCACGCATGCGCAGATTGCAATCACACAGGGCAAGGATGGCGTAGGACCATAGGACATAAGACCCCTTACTTGGCTACTGAACTGCACATGTGTGGTCATATAGCTGGAGAAGTGGCTGGAATCCTAACATGGGGGGCGGGGGGGGGGGTCACCACAACATGAAGAACTGTATCAAAGGGTCATAACATAAGGAAAGTTGAGAACCATTGTTGTAGGCCATGGTAAGCTCTCATAACAGGGAAGAGATCTCCTAAATCCATCTAGTTCTCCATCAACAGCAATCTGGGGAATCTCAGCCTATCTCTTGGTGACACGGCCTTCCTCAAACCATGAGGCTTCTGTTAGGTCCAAAGGAAACTCCACTTCCCC